ATAGATCATTAATTTCTAATTGATTATAGAATCTACAGATAATTTATCATTTCTAAACTTGCAAGATTTGTTTTGTCTCTCATAATATTGCTCATTTAAATCTGTTAACTTTTTAAATACGGCGTTTTAAAAATATTACTCTGGATAGATTTTGTAGTTTTTACGATAATGGGCTCATTATGAATTATAAATTAGATTTAGCTTAAAATATTTGCTTCGTTTAGTTTAATTGGCCAGTGTAACTTTCATCCTAACGCTAAATAATAGTGCGTAAACGTAAAATACTAGGTATTTAAAGATAATGATTTAAAATAACTCAGAGTATCTATGATATAACTAGTGATATCTGAATAGCTACGCAGAGAATTTACGTAATTGTTGTAACACAAAAATCTAGATTATATAATTCAGAGAAAATTTTATCACCATCTACTATCGAAGTACTTAAAATTTTTAGACTTAAGTGAATTTTAGTTATTAGAATTTGCTTTACTAATTCCCATTAATTGATATTTACTATTTAATTAGAACAGAATGCAAGAACTTTAACAATTTTTTATGTAGATATAGCACTATACGTTCATAAAATAAAGAATTTGATCCAAAGGCGCGCAAAGTGTTTTTTTTTTTTTTTGTTTACCAAGTACATTTATAAGATATTCTCTTAAGCAATAAAAATTCGATCCAAATCCTATAGAATTTTCATGAATATTTTGTTAGGTCATCGTTTTTCATTAATGAAAGTAGATGTATTACTGTTCAGATGCAGTGGCAATCGGCAAAAATTGTAAACTGCTATGTAATCCATATTATACTAATACTTAGGTCTAAGCCACCTACGTTCAATAAAACCAATTCAAGTGTTTAGAATTCTATCGCACTCTTCATACAATTTCCAAATACATTAGATAATTATTAAGATGTAATAAGTGAAGTTAACTCTTATTTATGTTAATTAGTTACTTTCAAGAAATGGATTTATTAGGCAGGTTATAACATTTATATAAAGATATACCTCGATTTACGACAGGTCTTTGTTGCATAAATGGGCCTAAGATCAGGCCCTGATCTGGGTTATAAATCCGACTAACATGATTCAGACTTGTTGAACATTGGGCACCGGAAAACATTATAAAAAGTTCTTTAAAGTTAAAAAAAAGTAGTGTATTGACTTTCAGGTTCACCTCTAATAATCGAGGTTCTACTGTCCTGTTATAATAGTACAAAATTTTAAAAAATATTAATAAGCATTATATATTATAAATTATATTATTAAATAAAGCTAATGTCATTGTGAATATGCATAATAAATGAATATTGACAAGCATCATGGCCATCGAGAGCTTATATTGGGCCTTTTGACCCGTTTTTTTTAAGCAAATGGAAACGTAGAAAGTTTCGTTATTAAGAAAAAGCTTTTTAATACACAGTAAAACTCCGATTATCCGAGAGGAAGGTGTAAGTGAATGCAATAGTTTTCTTATATTGTAATTCATAAAAGAAAGTTAAACACGGTAATATGTATTACAAAATTATATACGGTATTTTTTATCATTTAATTTCAAGGTGAGATAAATCATTCATATTTAACATATAATTACAATAATCAGAGCCGTAACTAGGCAGGTGCAACAGGTGCATTCGTACAGGGCCCACTTGGAAGGGGGGGTCCAAACTGCTGTTCACAAGAAATTATAGCTTTAAATCTTAAATTTTTCCTCTTTATTGGCGATTACATTTAGCCTTATTTAGACCCTAGATGTCTGCTCACCAGTGTTCCCAACCGTGGCGACTTTTAGAGGGACGTAGTGAGGTAGCGGAGACCTCAGACAAATCAGCCAAAAGTAGCGACTTTTGAAATTTTGTTTATTTATTTTTTGAGAAATTTAAATTTATGTTTATAGTTTTCAAATTTATAGATTTTTCTCTACTTTACAGAGCTCTCTGGCAACTACTAACATTATTACGATATACAAAACTGTATTTCTAGATTTTTCTACAGTGTGCAGAGCTAGAAATCTGTAAAGCTAACATTTTGTAACAAAAATAAATCTGCCCGAGGATTTTTTTAAAATTGATAAATTGAAAACGTGGTAACTCTCGAATAAAATCTTTGTCTCGAGGTTGTAAAAGGCGTGCAGAAATTCTGACATAACTTTTTGCTTTATAGTGGTACTCATATGTGTTGTATACCTCAACGGCGGATTAAGCGGTAAGCGAACTATGCGGCCGAGTAGGATCTCGAAGGGCCCCTCGAGGTCTTTAAAATGCTACTGAAAAAAGGCTGATTTTTGCTCTCTCTATGACTCTTCTTTACAATACACGAGTGTTGCTGATTTAAAAAAAATCAGCTGCAGATCTCGCTTTTAAATATAGCAAAGATTTAAAAAAGTACGAATTCACAAATGAAATTGAAAGTTTTAAGTTTGAAGTAACGACTCTTATACAAAATATAGAAACTGCATCTCCGCTTAATATTCCACAGGCTCTTCATGATTTTGATTTAATTGAGTCTTACCCAAATATCAATGTCGCTCTTCTAATATTTCTAACTCTTCCCTTTTCTATTGCTTCGTGCGAGAGAAATTTTAGCAAGTTAAAATTAATAAAAACTTTATTAACGTTAATTATCGGGCAAGAACGATTGTCTAATATTTATATTATTTCAATAGAATACATTATCATTAAAAATATTAATTATGATAATGTAATTAATGAATTTGCTGAAATGAAAGCCAGAAAAGTTCAATTAAAATAAATCTTATTAAAAATCTATTGTAATGTATTTGTTTTATTATTTTCCCAAACCAAATAAATTAAGGGGCCTAAATGCAAATTCTAGCACAGGGCACAGGAATGGCTAGTTACGGCTCTGACAATAATACACATTTTAATGCTTAAAACTATTGCATGTATAATAAATGATGTAGAAATTGTTGTTCTTATGAATGATTGAATTCACTAAGATATAAAAAGAGGCTTAAATGTGATGTACAGTACCATATAAATCTTTTATATTCGTAATTTTTAATTCCAAATTGCCGTGGCCATCCGTATTTCTTCTCTTCTGTATTATAAGCATCAGAAAAATTAACTTATGGAAACTTATGATTTTATTTTAAATTTAATATAAATTCGTTGGTTTAAAAATTTCCAAGACCTAATTTAGTTCATTTTATTTAAAAATTTAATTGCTTATTTTAGACAAAAATGTTTATATTTACATGAAAGAAACTTTATTTTTTATTATTTTTCTAAAATACAGGAAGTTCTCATAGGCGTATATACTGTATATTCTGCATTAAAGTTAATAATTAATGTTATTTATCTAACAGGAACGAATATTAACTTCAAAGAACTGCTTGTAAGTTTTAAATACGAACTTTTCATTTTGGAAGAAATCCCTTGGTGTGATTTATGCATTGAGTGTCAAATTACATTCTTATCTAATGCAAATTAATATTTAGTTCTTTCCTTATTAATCTTATTCGCTTATTTTATTTATATAATCTCCTTGCCTATTGTTCTATTTCACATTATCCATAAGCATTTTAAACACTATAGATCTTTATTATTGTTATTTTATTATACTAACTCAATATATGACTCATTTTACATTAGTTAGATTTGCAGTTGCGGTTTGCCACAAGTAAGTGGCAAACCGCAACTGCACCATAACTTAGCCCCAGTTGGTAAACATCAGGATTTTGTACTAGAATAAAAAAATGCAGTTATTAAAATGATAAAATTTAGATTTAGATCATTATAGTTAAATAAGATTTAGCTACAGTTAATACTTTCTTCTCCAGCGGAAATAAACAGAGCTTAGATAATTCTTATCAAGTTCAATGTCATTAAGTAATTATTGTACATAATTTTATCATCTTTTACGCTTTATAAGTTACTGCTATTTTTTCTCTTAAGTTGTGATTTACTTTAACGTAGCAATCTATATTGTCTTCTCATATAGATTCATAAATATAATGAAAACACCATCTTTAAAAGTTTTGATGATAAAGTATTTTCGCTTGTTTTATTTAAACTTCGTCAGTAATATGATATTCTAACACAATGAGTGGAACATACGACATATAACGTTCTAGATTATATAAACAATATAAATTATGTTTCTGTTATTTGCAGTTATTTGAAAAATTATTATAATTATAAAATTCGTTCTTTGCTGTATATTCTACTCGTTGTGTTCGAATATCTTATAACTGACGAAGCTTTAAATGAAATAAGCGAAAGTTTTAACGTTGTTTTCTGTGTTTTTCATTATATTACATTAGTTCACAGGATTCTACACACCAGATTCCTGAATACGTTTGTGAATCTGTTCTGATTATTTTTAAATAACAAAGTTAATACCGCATTTGAACCCATACTTATTGCATTATATAACCTATTTACTTATTCAATAAATCCACAAGTGATGTGTTTACAGACCTGAGTCAGTTTTACAAAGAGGATATATTATTCAGTAAATCTTTGTCTTTTTCCCCTTCATAATTTCAGTTCTACTTCTGTGATGTAATAGAGTTACGTGACTCATACCTTTCGTTAGAATGCTCGCCGGTATTAATAATGTTTTCATTTTTCCAAAGTCATGTACATAACTAACGTAACTATACGTAACTTAATTAATATTTTCAACCAGAGCAAATAATGCTTAAAATAATTCTCTAAATAGAACTTTTTCAAAATAAAACTGAAGGTGTATATTGTTTACCCATAGATATATAGTTCTATAGCATTTAGTTAATTCCTTTCCTGCAAAATATATATATATTTTTTTTTATTAAAGAAACAAAATCTTTGTATAATTAGCAAAGCTTATTGGAGATATAATTAGCTAAATCTATCGAGTTAAATTACTTTAAATGTACGGGGAGTCCCCGTTAATGATAATGATGTAATGATATGACGTGAAAAATGGGAGGAGAAAAATACACGTGCAGTAGTAATACTCTAAAGGGAACTCCCCGGTTTTCCTAACCGTATATAAATGCTCATCTTTCACTCGTTCTTCACAAAAGCTTGCTCTATCAACAAACAATGTAAGTCCTTCCCCTGTTCCTAAATTTTTAAAATGTAAACATTGTTTTTATTGCTTTAAGATAAAAAATATATTCTGAGTTCACTTTAATATAAGTTTATTTATGCTAAAATGAAATTGCATAAAAATGAAAAGTTGTTTTTTCAGATCTTACTTATTTATTATTATTTTTGTCAATGCATTTTTTTATTTAATTCTGTTTTTTGGGATTAGATGGTGAGAGAAATCTGTATCATAGAAGATTTTATTTACCCAAAACTTAACAACAAGGAATTTGGATATTTATTGGAATGGGAAGACCAAGAAAATGGAATATTTCGGGTATTTTGGTCTCATAAGTCTGGACGAAAGTGGCAGGAAAAATATTTCGAAGTATTTACTGTGAGTATGATTTTTAAATAATTATTAACTTGAATCTAAAAAGTAATTATTTCAAAAGTTTACTTATTGGAAAAAATTATAAATAGTTTTTATTATGTATTAGCTTTTCAACTATTTAGTTCTAATAATGCATTCTTTGCCCTTGATTATTTCTCTTTTTTATCTTATAAATAAAAATTTTATTCTTATCCAATTAAATGTATTAATTAAAATATAAATTACTAAAGAAGTAAAATACCATAAGAAACTAAAGTATAACAACAACAGATATTCTAAGTGTTTTAAAATAAAAAAAAAAAAAATTAAAATATGCTTATTTTTCAACATTATTTTAAAATAATTTATATATAAATTACTTAAAAACTTTTTATTAATAAGCATAAACTTAAGTAATTAAATTCTATATTATTCAGTGATATAATTTAACATAAGGTGAAGCAAAAATCAATAAATTAAAATAATGTAAAACAACTAATATATTATTATAGTGAGAATTATCCTATTATAACAATAATTTTCATTGAATGTTATGAAATTTTATATTTATACATGAATTAAATTTTTCTTTCAATTTATAAATATATTTTCTTTGTACATAAAATATATATGTGTATATATAAATAAATTTTTTGTATGCATTTTTATTGTTATTCATATATTTTAAAAAACACAAGATTAATATTAAATATATCACAATACACAAATTAGTATAATTTACCATAAACTCCAAAATTTTTTTTTACTAATACATTCTTTAGAAACACTATATTATTGTAATATATAGTAAACTATGAAAGGTATACCTCAAAAAATATGTAAAATTACAACAATCAAGCCTAATAAAATTATTAATAAGTCAGGCAGTTTGATCCCCATATAAATCCATTTTTCATGTAAAATTTGTGGAATTATTAGCTTTAAAGGTCTGAAAAAGATTGATAAGAAAAACATAAAATTTTATAAAATTATATATAATCTAAGTTTATGTAAACAGTATATATGTTGTTTACATTTCATATAGTATTCTGTATTGAGTTCAAATAGTCGTTTAAATATAAATTATTATCTATTATTACTCCTACACAAAGACATATATGTTTATTTAAATATAAATATAAATATTTCTTTTTATATATTAATAATTTAAGGACTTTTTTATAAATACTTTTTAATCAGTTTAAATGTTTTTGGAATTACTTTTGATGAAAGTAGTCAATAAATTTATTCATTAATAATAAATGAATTGATTTACTTCTATATAAATATGAAAAAATTATTTTTTTAAATTAAATTACAATAAAATTTTTTAATTAAAAAACTTTTTAATGAACTAATGATTCATGTTATGGAAATGTTAATATTAGAAATTATAGTAGGAATACTAACACAAGAATTAACAGAAAGCAAAAATATTCATAATTCTCTTGTTATATTGTTCTTAAATGTTTAAATATACATCACTTTACTGTAAAATAATATGAAATTGAAATTATATATAACATATGTACTGGTAAATACTTCACATGTTCATTTTTTCTTTATTAAAACTGCAGTTTTATTTTTCTATATTGTAATAAATTACAACAGATTTAACACTAATATATTTTGTAAAAGAAACTTAACATTATTATCTAAATTTCAACTAGTATATTTACAAAACGTTTATGAATTTTATAATAAGGTAATGTTGTTATTTTTATTAAGATTATATATTTTGATTAATATTTCAGGAATGGGATAAGATGAAAGGTCGTAAAAATCATGGAGGATCAGGATATTTCACAGAAGCAAAAGGAAGATTTCGTTCTGCTCTGACAAGATTAAAAAGCAAAATTGAAACACTGCCTCGAGACAGTCATTATCGGAGGTATCAACTGAAGATGTTTCAAAGTAAGTGATGTAAAATTTTAAATTTTATTATACATATAACAAATAATATTAATTCTAATCTAATCTGAAATAATTGAAACAAATACCTTAATAAACTCCAGTAGTATTTTAAATAAAAACAAAAACATTTTCAATCCAAACTGATGGATCTGTATTATTTGCATAAGTTTGATCTGCTTATTCAAACTTAGGATCAATGATTACCTATAAATGTCATATAAATATACTATATATATATTATATATAGAAATTGAATTGAATGATAAAAACTATTGCTATTGAACTCTTTTAACAAAAACCTAATCATTTAAATAATAACAACTTCAAATAAATTCTTTAAATATGACAAATAATCTGCTTTATTGGAGCTCATTTGAACAAAAAGTTATTCCAGTGTNAAAGAATTTAAATCTGTTAAATTCTTACAGTTGAACGACCTAAGAAATTCTAGCTTGTCTTCATTATTTAAAAAAACTATTTTACTAAACAATAACTAGATTAAATATATAAATAAAATGAATATATGTATTAAAGAACTGAATGGCTTCTAGCTAGAGGGGACCATTGGCAGTGCACCCCTCATAATTTTGATCCACTCCTGTCCATTGTTCCAAATGACAAACATTTGTTTGTATATTTATCTAAAACAATTTTTTTAAAATTAATTTTTAACATTTAAATTTTGAATATTTTTGTACTGTTTTGTTTGTACATTATATAATAGTGTTATATGAAAAAATGGTAGAATATCTACACTGGAGTACTGTAAACAATGCACATATCTATAAGCCTTTTACCAGTGCGTGTTTCATAACTGTTACAAACATTTTCAAACCATTACGATTCTTCTTCAGGTAACGGTCCCCTAACGGAATGCACTTTGATTCAAAGTTTCCCAGAATTATGATTTCAATCCTTTAATATAATAAAATTTATGTGCATATATAAGCTTTATTATATTATAAACTTGTATATATATATAATCTACAATTTAAACCAGTGATTTCCAAACTTTTTTGAGCCACCACCCCTTGGTTAACTAAACTTATACCCAATGCTCCCAACCCATTTTTCCTTGTGTGAGAAAACCTTGGAAATATTCTTAGCAAAACTTTTCTATGAACTTCACACTTTGTGTCCTTACTGTACATTGTTATCCATATATAGAAACTACTAAATGCAATGTTTTTTTTTACCTATTTTATGGATGAAAAGGATCGTTCGGTTAGGACCCTGATGCCAGTGTCCCCCTAGGTTTATTCATCACCCCTCAGGGGCAGTAATACCCATGGGGAACCACTGGTTTAAACTAACAATTCTATTGTAATTTCAAAGAATTAAAAAGTTTATAGTACTGTAATATTTATTTATATTTCTAAATATAATTTAGTTACAAACAATATGAAATTATAAATAAATTGTTTTATTTTTATATTGCAAAATTCTTTATTTTTCTTTTATTATCATTAGGAGATGGACCAGTTTCTGCAAATAGAAAGAATTATAATGCAATTAATTTGCATTTAAAAGATAAACAGTTATTAACATTTCAAACAAGAAGTGATGAAACAGTATTACATACACCTACATGTGACTCAAAATTATTGAATGATGACTTCTACACACCTCAAATAAAAAGTGAAGTAGTTAATTATGATATATTAAATGATCAGATTTTGAATTCATATGCATCAAACAGTTATAATAGTTTTCAACCAAATATGATGTGTTCTTCTTCATCATCAATGTTGTATGGTGAAACAGAAATCTTGGATCAAAACAGTTTTTTTACAAACAGTATTCCTCAGAAAAACAGCTTTACAGTTTCAATGAGTTCAAACAATATTTCAACAGAAGATGCAAATAATTATAACACAGTGAACTATGAATATACTTATGATGAGAGGAAAGAATATGGATTAAATTCAATATATGATGATTTTATTCCACCAATAAAAGTAAGTAATTTAGTATTACTTGTATAATTTCTGCATTAATAGGATTAAATGATAATTTTTATGAAATAAAACTTTGAATTAAATCCATGTTAATACTATAATTGATATTCAATTTTTTAAAATTAATATGATTTAATAATCTTACATGCAATATGCTATATTAAAATGTGAAAATACTGTTTTCTCTTATACTTGAATCTTAGAAATTCAGATGATCTAGAAGTGAAGTGCTCACTTTAGCTATAATATAGCCTATGTCAGAAATTTGATATTAAAAATATTTATAATTTATTCTAGAAATTAAAACAAATGAATAAATTTTGCAAATAATCTTTAAATAAAATTATTTAAAATTATCTTACAACAATTACAATAATGGAAAAAATGAACATTGCTAATCATTTTTAATAATTAATATATTTAACTTTCTGGTAACTCTATCTAAAATGTTTGTACTTTCAAATATAAAATCAGAGAGCTTTTATATTATAAACAATTATATATTACCAACAAATAACCTTTCTTTCTGTATGAAACTTTCAATACATGTATGAAATAATGTATATTGTGTAAACTGAATTTATAAATACAGAATTCATCTGGCTTAAAAATGATATATTATTTGAAATTATTAAACATTTACATATTTATTGATAATTTCAAAATATAATAAATTTATTATATAATAAAATGTGTTTAATAAATAAATTTATCTCTATAGTTTCAGCAATATGCAGAAAGTAAAATTACCTTCTGCATCTTAAAGTACAGTACATTTAATAGATGAAAATAAATATTTTAATATCACTAACATAACTGGACTCCCCTTTACCATTGTAAATAAATAAAGTAAAAACCAAATAAGTACAGGAAAAAGATTTGAATATGACAAATGCATTTAAACTTATGTATATACAATAACTAAGAGTTTACTCTTTATCTACACTGCCAGTGGTACAGCTGGTACAGCTGGTACAGCAGCAAATGTAGATGTTTAATTTGAGCATCCCTAATATTAGTTCTAGTTACACTATTGTTTAATATTATCCCTTATCATGATAAAGTTCCTCAATTGTTGAATTTGTCAAAAATGCTTCATCCAGAATAAAAATAAAAACAATTTCTCTGATCAAATTGTTATAGTTCAATTATAATTAAAGCAATTTGAATATTTGATGCAATAATGCAATATTGCGTTTCATCAATATAAAATATATTTGAAAGTCACAAATAAACTTAAAAAAAATGTAAATGTGTATCGATTGATTTTATCAACAAAAATTTATATCGATGTTATGGCAGTTTCATTTGTTGAAGTGCTTCTATGGAATAAATACTTTGTCTCCTAAATGTGCAATTAAGATAAAAATAAATTGCTGATTAAACAAATTTGCATTTTAAAATTTTATCTACACTTTTAAAATTATTTCAAGAAAAATAATATATTCATATTCCCGAAATAATTAAATAAACAATTGTAAAAATAAGATTAAAATTTGTGTTATTTTATATTATTTTATACACATTATATTCTCGATTTTTGCATTTTAATAACGTCAAATATATAATTAAATTTTATAAATTTTAAAAACTATAAATAAATTATTAAAATATTATAATGAGAAATTTTTTTTTATTTAATTTTCAAAATTATAACTTGACATTAAAATGCTTCAATTTAGACTTATTTTAAGAGAATTTCACTTATAAAAATACATTATTGTTAATTTAAGACATAAAAAATATTAAAAAATTTAATAAAAATTTAGAATTTAAGATTTTATTTGAGAAGAGTATGGATTATTTTAAAAATATTTTCAAATTTTTTTCTACATGCACTATCATTTGCATTTGCATTACAAATAAGACAGTAGAAAAATGTCATATGCCTAATATACATTTATAAGAAACAATATATATATATTTACGCATACACCTATATTTTTTCTTAAAAATTCTAAGAAAAAAAATATCTACAATGCGAAATGGTAGGAAAGAATTTAAAGAAAAAGCGAATGCAAGTAAAGTGAGACATGTAGTGTTAGGTTTATGTATCATTGCATTGTGCAGAAAATGAGTTATAGCTATATATCAGGTAGATTTCTGATATTTCTTTGCNTATTAGTTAAAGATGATTAAATTATGACTGAAAATGTTTCTTAAAAAATTTCAGGTAGCCAAAATTTTTTTCATGAATATATTTATTCATTGATTATGTGGTTTATTTCAGTTTGGTGTCATATTTTCTAGATTTTTATTCTTAATTTCATTATTTCAAAAAAGTAGTTTAAATTAAAATGTATAATTGGGATAACACTGTCATTAGTTCGTAACAATTCACTGTATTACTGATTTATCTGCTGATTTAGCTACATAAATTTACAAATTAACTTTGAAGACTAATGTACTAAATTTTATCAAAAATTTATCTGAAGTATATCTATCTATTTTATTTAAATTTATGTAATATAACTATAATTATGATTATTTCTAATTTTTTTTTTTTTACTGGTATTACAGATTTTGAAAACTTCACAGATAATGAGAACTTTATGAACTGGAGTAAGGATTTTTTAAGAATTTAAAAAGTTCACTACCATTTAACTAGAATTTGAAAAGGAAAATAAAAACAACAAGATAGTTACAAACTCTGTGAATTTTCCTAACAAAATAATTGCTCAATTATGTTGAATTTTTAAATATCCATTATTTTAATTATTTTCTTATTGTTCCAAAAGTTTTAATTGTACCAAAGTAATAAATTTGTAATAACTAATTGCATAATTTTATATGCAAAATTACTTCATTCCATATTTATAATATTTAGTTTTTAAATACTGTAAAACAATTAAATTTAATTATTACAAATGCAATAATATTTTCATGTTATATATGTTGTGTTTTGTAAATTATGAAATATTATCAGTATTATAACTTTATCATCAGTTTTCATTTGTGCTAAATAACATTATATTTTGTTCGTTTTAATTACCATCATAATGTTTTTGTAATTGCATAAGTTATCAAATACATTGTCTCAACTAACGAGACTTGTGACATTTTATCAACTTGTTAAGAACGAATTGCAATAAAATATTGTACTTCTAATATATCATTGAAATTTATCATCGCATTTCCAATGTTACTTATTTTTATGAAATATGTGTACCTTCGCCGTTCGAAAATGGGAAATTTTTACGCAGTGGAACAACGACGAGCGTGCCATTGTTTCCTTCTATAGTTTGTCGTTTTCGTATGTTGAACACGTGTTTATTTGAGAAAGTTCGCATTAGTTAGATCAGTACTGAGTTAGATAATAAATCTCGCTTGATATATGGGCATTACAAAATTTTATTGCAATTTGTTCTTAACAAGTGAAACAACCTTTTGTAAAACTATTTACAATAAATATTTATGCATTATGTCTTTAACGTTTTGAGTTTTTTTTTTTTTTAATTGGAATAAAGTTAAATAAATAGCACGATTGATTGAATAAAGCAACGCAATACGAGAGAGATCTGCCACTTGGAAAAAATTTGTATGGGAAACTGACCCCCTATTTATTTGTTAAGCTGGCGAACATCGGCCAACCGTGGTTGGCACGCGAGTTTATGGAGAGAGCGAATACTAGGTAACACTTTCCACTCGCAACTAATCACATGATGATGAATGTCGCTATTCGCTATTTATATAATTGCGCTAATATTATCCGAGACGTTCGCTGATTGGTTGTTTGTGGCAACTAGTAGTGTTTTCTAAACTTTCGGAAAATTATTGTAGGCCATTTTCTTTGTAGATTGCAGGTGCTCTTACCCTGGAGCCTGTAGAAAGTAGAACGTTTTCAGGGGTCCGTGAGCTTGGAAGGGTAAAAATTAACTTTTTCTTATATTTTTAAACGTATTGTATTTTTTTAACTCTTTCTGCCCTGTGAGCACTAAGAGGGCCTCCATTAGCAAGCCCATTATGAGTTCGGCCAGGTTCACAATTGGGCGGCCGGGTGGTGAGGGATGGGGCCCGATATTCATTCATTCATTTATTCATTTATTGTTGTACAAATATAGTACAGACCGGCCCCACATTGAGCATTACCGGTTATACACATTAAATATTACAGTACTCAAGATAAAATTTTGTTACGTGTACAGAATTGATGAAAGCAAATACTTAATAGAAGAAAATAAGTCAATAAATGCATAAAATAAGATAAAAACAGATAAATTAAGAAACAATGAACTTAACTATATACAAAATTATGTAGTACATAAAATCAGCAAGATTGCAAAGACATAGAGTTACCTTTAATAGAAAAATATAATTAACCTGAATAATGAATGTAAATAAATACTTAATAGTAATTCAAACACAAATTATTATTGTATTTATTTTCAGGCACTCGGCAATTAATTGAATTACTACTAATAACTACTAGCACGGTTTCAAAGTACCAGAATAAATACTTAATGTAGCGTCTTGCTGATTGGAGACTGGCGCATACAGTTATAATTGTAAGTAACTCGCCATATCATGTAAAATGTCCAATTTATACAAAATGTTCAGGAACATCCAAATAGCATGTAAAATGCAATAGTCTAGAGGTTGCAAGACATCACAGTATAGATGTTTATCACAGTTTCAGAAACGCATTATTTCAAGGAGTGAATTTCCTGTTGGTCTGTGACAAAGTTCAGCTAGTGGTCTGCAAGTATTTCCTGTTGGTCTGTAGTAACATACAGCTATTGATTTTCATGTATGTATGTATTCAGTCCTAGTTAGATATTTTGATTTTTCTCTTAGATACGTTGGACACATTTTATCCATGGTATTATGGTTATGTTGTGTTCTTTTCTCTTTCAAACAGTTGACACATTTTGGTGTTTCATGTCTATTTGTACAGTTTTTAAAAAGATGGTTCTCACCACAATGACTGCATATTGATTCTGTGGAAGTACAGTTTTTAGCAAAATGGCCAAAGGATAAGCATTTATAGCACTGTATTGTCGGAATAAAATCGTACACCTGACAAGTTGACCAGTGAATGTGAACTTTTC